ACACACACACACACACACACACACACACACACACACACACTTAGCGCGTTATATATAGTAGGATACTTCTAACCACCTTTTCACGCGTTCTGAAATGTTGATAGAGAGAGAGCTATGGATTTTGATTTGGGATTCTCCCCTTCAGTGCAAACCCTGCTCAGTTCAAGGATTCGACCACATTGGTTTTAAAACTTCTAATGTTTTAAAACTTCTAGCAAAGATGGATATGGGGATTTCCTTGCACGGCAGTGATACTCACCGTATGGCGTCGAAGATCAACAAGGAAGGCTCCATAGTGAATCACTTCAAAGCAAGCCGTAAATGGATTCACGGATTCAAGTCGAGGTGTGGTATTATTACAAACCTCGTCACGAACAGAAGTTTTATTGCAATGAGCACCTTCTAACGGTTTTGGAGCAATATATATATAATCAGCATTGTAGGAAGGAATTTCATTAAGATTGGTGATTAGGGCTCATATGCAACAACATAGGGCCCTATGTTTGGACTTTTGGCTCATTCATTACAGTATGATTCATGGCTCTAGCATTTGAGAAGGCAAAATATTCAAATTTCATATCCGTCCAATACACTTCCGCCGCAAAAAGGATAGAAATGCATTAAAAAGATGTGACAAATAATCACTTAGTTTTTGAAGAGAAACATGTTCTTTGATGGAGAAGGACTTGAACCCATGTTTCAAATACAACCTGTAAAAGTTGATCAGTATACTGAATACGCATATCAATGCAATTATTGTCTTGATGTTGGTAAAAAAATCGAAGATGTTGGTGACAGCTCTGAAAATATTGTAGAAGGTCGATAAAGGGTTAATGCAGAACCCACTATTATGAGTGGTGGAATCAGTTAGCGAAATGATTTCTGAAAAGAATACACCATCGTTGATGAGTGCTAAATTCCCTTGAAAAGCTGCTGTTGAAGTTCCTCCAGGGCATCAGATCGTACAATTGATATTGATGCTTGATGTGCTGAAGTGGAAAGTGACTGTAAATCGTGTCCATCTGGTGTGCATATCACCAATTTAATAGAATTTCCACACTGAATTTGTGCAGCTTCTTGGCTGGCGGAGGACTTGCAGGAAACTTTTGTTGTCGCTCCTTGTGTGCATGAGTAAAATCCGAATAGTTCTTCCATTTTTACGAGACAGGAGTTGTTGTTTCTATTCGCCATTACGAGTCCTTGCGCTGATATTTGCATGATGAGTGCGGAGCTAATGGTGGTTTTCGCTTTGATAACTGATCCTTCTTCGTTTATTATAGCGACTTGGCTTGTTGTAACGGGCAGTCTTCTGGATTCATTCTGTAGAAATGGAGAAATTGTTCCGTTTGAGCACGTGCATTTCACTGTGTAGACTCTTGGTGTGCAGCTGCATGCGTGTTTGGCGAATGAGCAGTTGGAAAACAAACTGGCTTTATCCTTGCTCTTGCATTGAACTTGTCCCGGTGAATGGACAATGAGTTGGCCATGTGGTGACGGCTCGATTATTGCTACAGTATTGTCGTCTGTGATGAAGTAGCTTGAAAGTATCAATAGGGCTGGAGTGCTTGTGCTCATTAAGGTGATTTGCACGCTGTTCCATCGTAAAGGGCTGGAGTGTGAATGTAAGTGTTGACGAAGATTCATTACTCGTTATAGTGATCGTTCCTTACAACCTGCAATGTCCATGGATTCTGTAAATAGTGGAAAATGTTAGGTAAAAGAGGCATGTGTCTTCGCAGTAGAAGAAGAAATTACACCATAAACACTTACAACTCGGTACACAGAATGTGTACCCTGGATTTGCGTTTGAAACGATACTGAAGTCGTTTAGCTTCGTGTTTGGTGTAATTTTTCGGCAAATGTTTCCATGGCAGCTTTCAGTTTTCAAACATTGATGACGCGATTCCGAATAGAACTGGTGATCCCTTGTGAAATACTCCGTTTTTTGTTGGCAAATATCGGCGATGTTTTCGAGTCGTATTGCAATAGTTCCCATTGGCTCTTTGCCTCTGTTTGTGAGTAGGAAACAAGCTTCTTGGCTGATAGGTTGAAGAGAGAGAAGCGTAGTTTCGTCTTATGAACAGGACTTTTTGTCGTTTACTACTGTGCAGTGAACGGTGTCGCTTCTTATGGAAACAATGTCGGAGCAGCACTGGGAAGCTGGTGTTAACAGCATTGCGGTTGCTATTACTCCATAAAGCTTCTTTTTTCTTCTTCTTGGTTGATATGAGGCTGTTGAAACGTTGTACGTTTGTTTCCTTTTCGTAGGTGTTTTAAACTTCAGTAGCATGGATTTAAAAATGTTGACGAAGAAGCATGTACCTTTTTTGAATGCCCATCGGATGATCCTGAAGATGGGAGTGCAAAGATGGAGCATAACCATGATTGCCATTGCGAATATGAGAGATGCGGCTATTTCCGTGATTGACCAACACTGGACGTTGTAAAGTTTTTGCCAGCACATTCGACAATGAATCGTTTCGCATATTGGTTGTCCGGGACAGAAGAGTGTTGTTGCGAAGCTGCGTTTGCCTTTGATCCATCCGTTGAGGTGAAACATTGCGAAAGATGACGGGGAAAATATTGCTGTATCAGCTTTATATTTTTTAGCATAGATACAGATTGACGCTACACACACCTCAAGTCGGTCATATGTTTCGGTAGTTTCCATTGAGACTCCTCCTGGGACGCATTTTGGTATCGAATAGACATTGAGGGATATGCCCTTATCTTGTCTGTAAGGATAGTATTCCTTTGTTGTTGTGCCCCATGCTTTTATGATGAATGACGTTGTGTCGGTGTCAAATGTTGTTACTGCTGAAGAGTACAAGCAGAATACTGAACGTGGGTTAGGTTCCAGAATGTGTGTTGTCGACAGAAAGCTGATGAGCCGTATTTTGACATTGCAGATGGTAGTGGTAGTGGAACAGTCTTTCCTTCAGCGTCGAAGCAGTAGTAGTCATTTTCATCCAGAAATTCTCTTGTTGTAGTATGGAGTTCTCGTACAACTATTTTTGCGCCATCGTAGAGTTCGATTTGATGAAGAATTCCGAGTTTCCGGTCTTCAGCGCAATTCGGAGATTCCTGGAATGAGCATACATGAGTGGGCTTGTAGCCTAAAATGTCTAGGGGTACGGTGTTGATTTTTGACATTTCCTTATGACGTTCGTTGCAAAGTGAGCAATTCTCTGTCCAGTTGGAGCAGGAGCACTTTCTTCCGCATTATCCTGTGTTAGGAATTATTGGTATTGGAGTGTTGATGTGGCCAGTTGGACAGGATATCGGAAACCAGCAGAGTCTTCTATTGCTATCATTCGGTTGAAAAAATGCTACTGCGATTCCCTTGGATCTGCACTGATCTGCGTAGATTATCCTCTTGGCTATGGTGATGGTGGTTGGGCACTTGCTGCTGAGGATGGTGACCTTTGAGCTGCAAAGTGTTGTAAGAAGGAAAGCGATGGGGAGTAGCGAAATTGATGTAGTTGCTTTTCCCTTTGATCTTGTCATCATTGGGTGAGTGGACGTTCTTGGTGTTCCCGTGCGTTGTTGCTCTTCTGCTGTTGCTCTGTTGCGTTGCTGCTCTCTGAGTATTCTTTTGATCGTTGCTCTCTTCGGAAGGTGAAATTTCCAATGGGTTGATGAGGTTAATAGACTTTGTGATGATTTCCTTGTTGGCTAAGCGTAGTTGAACTGTTCGCTGGAACTGATCTGACGAGCCAATTATTTGGCCAAGTTTCCATTGTCCACGTTGAGGCGATTTGTCATGAATGAGAACGTATTCGTGAAGTCTTGGTCGCGAACTTTCCTCTAAACGAGGGTGTTTGTGAGAACGATTATAATGCTCTCGCATGCTTGTCGAATATTCCGAATTCTATCTGTTCCAAGAGGAGGTGAGAACTTCGTTTGTCGTTTTCCATAATTCCATTAGATTTTCGTGGACACTGGTACGTGGTGTATAGTCTTCAATATCATCGAATCGAGGCGTCGCATTTAATGCAGTTGGTCTTAGAAAGTCTATTGGTCTGAGTGGATATTGAGATTGTTTGTCCGTTACATAAGTAAGTGGTCCGCGTTGCAAATCGCTGTGCATTCTGCCGTGATTGTTTTCAAGGTTTCTATGTCGGAAATTTCTCTTCCGATAGCATTTCGGAACGCTGCTTCAAAAATACCGACCATTCTCTCGTATACTCCTCCTTGCCAAGGGCTATGGCTCGCAATAAAGTTGAAACTGATCTTACGATTGGCGTAATAATCGATGACATTTTCCTTGGGCGTTGTTGACCTGAACATATTTGATTGAATTTCATTAATTGTCTTGAAAACTTTGGCGTTGTCGCATACTATCCAATTGGGAAAACCATTGGTTGCTATGGAACGACGAAGACCTTGAAGTAGAGTTTCCGCAGACATGCTTGTTACGACCTTCGTGAAGGTGGCTCTTGTGTTCAAGCAAGTAATGAGAATTATCCAGTGTTTCGAAATTGTGATGTTGTCCTCCCTGTAACTGAATGGTCCTATGTAATCCATGCCGCATCGCTGGAAGGATTACTGTGGTTTTGTTGCTCTTTCCTTAGGATGCGCAGGAAAGTCGGGTAAAGCAAAGGGTTTTGCCTTTGCTTTTCGACAGACATAGCAGCTGTTATGAAGAACCTTCTTTACCGTAATGCGCCCTTTTGGTATCCATACTCTGACGCGTGTTTCGGTCAGGGTTTGTTAGACGCCGCAATGGTGACTCATACAATGGATATGGAGAATGTGGAGTGTGGTGATATAACTTTCTCTTGGAAGATATATCGCTTCAATCGTGATTTGTGATAGATTTGCATTGTGGATCCTTTCTCTACATCTCCATAAAAGTGTACGATCACATTGATATAGGTTCAATTGCTTTATTACGGCATCACTCGGGGGATGACTCATTTGTGCTTGTCGGCAGATGATACGTTCGATACGTTTGGTGATTTCCTGACGATGAAGAGCAGAACCATCCCTATAGTATTTAGAAGCTTTGTCCATGACCTGAATCGAGTTTCTTGAAATAGTGGTTCTTCTTTTTTCATTGCTTCTTGAGAAAGAAGGCATTCTTCCGTTTCTTCATCTTTGGTTGAATATTGGCTGATATCGTCTGGCCATTTTTCCTCAGAATATAAAAGAAATGAAGGTCCTTTGAACCATAGTTGAGAATGTAGTAGTTCTTTTATAGACATTCCTCTGTTGGCAACGTCAGCCGGATTTCCGTCTCCCGGAACATAGCGTAAAATCGACGAAGGAGCGTTAGTCCTGATGCTTTCCACGCGGTTGTTAATGAATATTGGTAATGTTTTCTCAACTTTTGTCCACATGAGGGCTACTTTACTGTCCGACCAAATGTAGGATTTTTGAATCGGAACATCGAGTCGAGAGTGTAGAAATTTCGTTAATTTCGCTCCGATTGTGATTGCCGAAAGTTCTAGTCGAGGTATTGTTGGAGTGGAACGGAGAGGAGAGAGACGTGATTCAGTCATCAAAAAGGATACTTGATTATTTCCACAAGAATCGTGACTTACCAAATATGCAATTGCGCAAAATACCATTTTCGATGCATCTGTAAATACATGAAGATCGAACCGTGAGCCCTTTGACGTGTCGAGATCGAGTCTTCTTGGTAGACGAATTTCTTCGAGACACCACTGCTCAAGTATTGATTTCCATTCTTCTAAGAGCTCTGTCGGAAGGAGGGTATCCCATTGTAGTTTTGTTTTCCAAAACTTTTGAATGAATGCTTTGAAGATGAGAACTGAAGGGGTAATCCATCCAAGTGGACTGCGGCTCCTTCTACAGTTTCTGAAAAGTTATTGAATTCCTCGTTATTGCTTGCGAATTCTCGAACATTCATCCCTGCATCACTGAATATATCTTTTGATTCTTCGTAGATGAGTTCAGCATCTTTGAGGGATGAGGCTTCTAAAAAAGGGTTATCCACATAGATATTGCGCAGTATTTTTTGTGACAGTGAAGAAGAGCAGTTGCCGAGATGATAATGGATGGTACCAGCCAGAAGGAATGGTGAGGCGTTTAATCCAAAAGGTACACGTCGAAATTCATATGTGATGACGTTCCCATCTTAGAGTCCTTCAGTAGGATCTCAAAGCCATAGAAATCGGGTGAAGTCTCTACTTGCTTTATCTAATCCGATCTAACCATCAGAAAGGCTTTTTCTATGTCGCCCGTGATAAGAATATTCATGAAGCGGATTCTCAAGAGAGTGCCAGTAATTTCGGGGAGGAGTACTGGTCTCCTGTAAAGTACATCATTTAAACTTTGCTTGCCTTTTGTGTTGGCGGATCCATCGTACGCGCATCGTAGTTTGGTGTTCTTGCTTTTTTTCCGATATCACTCCATGATGTGGAAGATAGTGGCAGCGCGTCGGAACCTCTTTGTCGTTGATTTCTTCGATAATTACTCTGTCTAGTTGCTCTACAATAATGTTATGGTACCTTTGGAGCAAGTCTGGACGTTGGTTCAATGCCTTCAGAGTGCTCTTGTGGCGACAAATAGCGAGATCGAAGTTGTCTGACAAATCAGAGATATCATCTTTGAAGGGCAGTTGGACCTGTAGTGGCCCTCAGCGGTACTGAAATAAATCGTGTCTTCAAATTCTTGAAGGCACTTATCGTCGTCGGATTTGGTATTGTCTTCAGATATTCCCTCTGAACTCGATGGACCAGAACTTTTCCACTAGTTCCTCTAGCTTCTGGTGCTGGAGAGGCTTTTCGAGTGCTTCACTGTTGATCGCGGACATGCATAAGTCGTTAGCTTGGAAAGGTTTTCCAGTTATGACATAGCCGAGTCGAGTGTGAACGAGCTTGTAGCCATTAGGAAGCTGCTTCATAAAGAAGTCATTGGATAGCACGAGATCCCAAAAGTAATCGTTACCTATGAGCATTCCGGGTTGAGCGGTAACCCCATGAGTTCTTAATCGATCCTGATTGCTTGAAAGAACTAATTCCATTTGCATTGGTCCGGATACGAAAGGCACAGTTCTGGCGGAGAGCGTGGTCATTTCCTGGTTCTCGAGTAGTAGTCCAATTCTCACTCGTGATGACAAGTAGGTCTGAGGTTCACGTGTCGCGAATGTTTCAACCGCAAATAGTTCTTCTTTTTCGAATTCTAAGTTAAGCTTGCCTGCGAGTTCTTCAGAAATGAATGTCAAGGTTGCACCACTCTCGAAGAATGCAGTTGTAATTACTTTCTGAAGTGGATCGTCTGGATCGAAGAGAGTTACTTCAGCGCACATCAAAAGTCCTTTTTGGTTGACATTCATATTGACAGCTTCCATGATGGGGATATAAACTTTTCGAGAGTTGCCATTTCGTTTTTTCTGTACTATGGAGAGCTGTTAAACTGCTCGATGTTCTTCTTCAGGATGTGCTGGATCAGAACTTGACGTATTAGGGATTATATGAGCACGATCTGATACAGGAGTACATCGTTCCTTACCATTTCTTTCTGAATGATGTGATGGCATCACGCGAACGTTGCGTTCTCCGATGGTTTGTGTAGGGTTGCTTCGTCCTTGCGGAAAACATATAGAAGAATGATGTCGCCCACTGCAGTGAATACACATTCGTTTTGATTGGCAATTCCTTGTTGTATGACGTGAAGATAAGCAATTATAGCATAAGCGTTTCAATTTGACTACCTTTATCCGATCGTTCGGCGATTTGTGCTTTGGACAGGCTGATGGGATGTGAAGATCTCCACAAAATGCAGTGTTTCCAAGATGGTTGAGGAGACCATGGCTTGGATTGAGTTTGGTCCCTTCTTTGTGAATACTTTGGTGTCACACGGCGTTGATAAACGGCGTTAACGTACGTTTCTGTAGGCGAGTTGTTGTAGTCTTCCATTTCCTGTAGGGTCGTCTCTTTCCGTACGATTCTGGTGAGAATATGTAGAAGTTTCGTAGGGACGAGATTTTCTTTATTTCCGCTTTGATCGCAGATTCGGCTGCTAATGTGCCTTGGTAGTTTGTTGAGAAGAATCGCTCCGGAGCATATTCTTTTGGATCACCTTCGTATGTTGTGAATTGACGTACCAGTGCGAACATTTGTGAGTAGAGTGCGAAGAGGTTTCGACCGTCTTTGTCACACGATGGGAGTGAAGCAAGTCGCGTGTAGAGGATGTGCCGTGTCGTAACGTGGTCATCGAAGTGATTCTCCAATATTTCTACTGCAACTGGATAATTTGCGGCGGTGATGACTAGTCCTTTGATTGTCTGTAGTGCTCGTCCTCGTAGCATTGATTTGAGAAGGCACAGTTTCGTGGCTCCGTCAAGTTGTGGTTTATCTCCAGCGAGGGAGGGACATTGGAGGGTCGAACTTGCTCAAGATGGAAGCATCAACGAAAGATAGAGTTGGCGGTGAAATTGTGGCGATATTAGGTGGCGTACGCAGGAGAGGTGATGAGTCGTCGTGAGGCACAGTAGTTGAGAAGTAGGCGTCTGTCGACGGTAATTGAGGTTGTTGAGTTGTAGCACGGTCCGTAGAGCGTTGAGAGTCGGTATCAGATTCCTCTTATGGTTCAAACTCCATTTGACGTTTGATGAGTTCTTCTTCGATGAGCGGCCTTTCCCTGTCGAGTCTCTGCAGAACTAGGACAGCCTCTTTGAGAATGTCTTGGAAGTCTCCATACTTGCTGACGTAATTTTGTAGTATTTCTTCTTCTTCTGGATTAGCGGATATGATGAGTTGCCATTGCTTCCATAGTCGCTGGAGTCGAGAATATGCGCGGTAGATAGAGTCGTGAGTAGACGTATGACGTTCATATTCGTTGAGAAGGTCGTCATCAGAGAGTTGCGAGATTTGTGATTTCTGGACGTGTTCACGTTCGGCTTCCGATAGTGCTGTGCGAAGTTGTCGCTTTGTGATTCCAATTTGTTATCGAATAGTACCGGACATTTCGGAAGATTTGTAGTCGAATTGAGATGACGTTGATTTGAGCTGGCTGCTGACGGAAGATGGGTTCTGTCTTCAGTTGTCGACGCTGGATGTCTTCTATGCCGTGGTCGCCATATTACGAACCGCGTCACGAACAGAAGTTTTATTGCAATGAGCACCTTCTAACAGTTTTGGAGCAATATATATATACCCAGCGTTGTAGGAAGGAATTTCATTAAAATTGGTGATTAAGGCTCATATACAACAACATAGGCCCTATGTTTGGACTGTTGGCTCACTCATTAAAATATGTTTCATGGCTCTAACATTTAAGAAGGCAAAATATTCAATTTTCATATCCGTCCAATACAGGCATCGTATCCTGCCGTATCGCCACGTTTACCTTGACAAGGAGTTCCTCGACAAAGACCGCATATCCCATGAGGTCAAATCATTTGTCCTCGAAGTGAAGAAAGGTAAGTTTCCTCACATAATTCAGAATTTTGTATTTCATGCAGTTGGTGTGATAGCCAGACGACCCCATTAACATTTTAAGTTTACAGAAGTGAAAAATTGCCCCCAGGATACAATATGCAACACGGAGCAAAGCAGTTTTGTGAAAGAGTTGCATTCGGCGAGGAAACTCGAAATGTGGTACAGTTGGTTTCAGCATTGTCTCACTCTATTACTATCATGCCGACCCTCCTTGCTGATGGTCACCTAGGAAACAAACTTTATGTGATAATGCAGATTAGTGCTCTCAAAAAATTCAGATAAAATTCTTCATCGCTGTCTGTTCTAAGGAAATCTCAAAGGACTATTCCCGGCTGAAGGTTGCTTTTGCACTCCAAATTTGGAGGTCAGGGCAAGTACATCCCACATGATGTGCAAGGAGCTAATGCTGGACTGGATCAGTACCTGCGTCTGAACGATGGATTTGCTTCTTCACTTCTGGCTGTCGATTCATAGAGCTCGTTCGAGGACCATGAAGCAATTCAGGGTGCTTTACCAGCTGGCAATGCGGTGAAAGTGCTCCGCCTGGCGCAACACCCCAAATTCATCCTCTCGATGTATATTTCTTCTTGCTATTTAAAGTCATGTTTGAATGTATCGTGTACCATGTTATAGCTCATAATTTTATTTCCATGTTAGCATCCGCGACTCCATAATCCGCCCTGTCCCATCAGTGTACTTCTTGGCTAGCGCACCTATATTCAGAAATTTTCTCCCTTATTCATGCTATGTAGCAGGCTATCTGGATACGAAGCACTGGTAATATTGTTTCTAACTTCATCTAGACGGAGATTGTGCGAGTGATGGGTTTGATGATTTTTTCTTACGTTGTTCCCCATAGTGAGGAACTTTTCTGCTTCAAACCATTTGTATTGGAATATCATATGTGTACATCAATTGCTTACCCATTGTTCCAATAGTTCTTTTCTTTTTTCCTTTGTAAAAATGTCGATTGAGGCGTACTTGCCAAGGAGAGGACATTGCCCTAACAAGGAGTGTTCCGGGCAGATGAGTCATCCAAACCCCCCCCCCCCCCCGTAGAAAGGGCATGGAGCTGCCATAAATTTAGCAAACCCCTTCGATGTTTGGGATAGGACTGCACCACTATTCGGTGGGTGGGGGTAAGGAGGAACTTCCGTTGTACTACCCTTTACAGTATTATTATTCGAATATGAGGGGAGGGAAGCCTTTAGATGGTGGGTATGGAGGTAGAAGCATTTTGCAAGCGATTAAAACATGTATTTTAGAAAGCAAAAGGAGCACATGCATCTAAGATCCAAGCCTCTGTGACCATCCTTAGAGTCCGTCGTCGCACCAAATGCTCCATCGTTGCGCGCTTGATTATCTTCTTGGTTCCCTTATGAAGCCAACACGGTGGGTATAACACAGGGGAGGAAATGGTCCCATAACTCTGTTTTCAGAATCGTTTAGCACATTTGGAAAGTGGATTTGAGACCTCCTGTCGGAATCACTACGGCGGTAAACATCTCATCTTAAGCTTAGATGGACACTGCAACCTAGTATCCATCCCTTGCTAGTCTCGCACTCTATAGTAAAAGCCCGCCTACCTCTAAGGTTAGACGACATCCCTTCTGTGGCCTCTAACCACTTACGTTTCACGACGTGCGAGGTTTTAAACAGAGCTGTGAATTTTGATCTTGGCTCCGCCCACTACAGGGATTCGGCCGGAGGCGTTTTATAGCCTCTGGCCACTATTTTCGCGCGTTTTGGAACGTTTTCGAATGGACTTATAAATTTTTGGTCCTGGCCCCGTCCACCTCAGTGCAAGCCCGACCCACTTTAGAGAGCTGACAACATTTCTTCTCTAGCCTCTTCCCAGTTACTTTCCACGTTGCACAACGTTTTTGAACGGAGTTAGGGTTATTCAAAGGGATCTTACATTTGAATGCACGCACCACCTACTATGGGCGGGACTTCGGCATGTTTACGCATGCCCGGCACGCATATGGCCTTGCTCACCTCGTCTTTTTCCTAGCCCCCTTGAGTCGAGTTATGGTCCTATATGGTAAGTACCGCCCACTGCGAGGATATTCCGCCCACCGCCAGTGAGCTTCTTTCACTTTACTTGTTGACCCATTCCTCATTTTTGCCCATTTTTTTCGAGGCTCTGGGCTGTTAAGAAACCTAACTCATACATTTTGCTCATGACGCCACCGACTCTCGTGCATGCCCTGCCCTGTGTGTTTGCACCGCTAAGCTCCCATGTGCTTTGTTGATATCAAAACATATCGCTACCTGTGTGCAGGCTTGTTCGATATTTCAAGCTTTCAAGACAGAAGAGCTTCAAACGTCCAAAGATGGCGAAAAAAACTTCTTCTGTATTACCATCTCGGGAGTTCCCCAAGCGCGAAGTTTGGTAATGGATACGTGTAAATCAGTACAAAACGTGAAAACTTTCGTGTGCGCTCAAGGCAAAAATTATGTAAATTAACGTTAGCACGTGTGCCGAGGTTCAAAGTTCGATGCCATGCCTATGAGCCCACCGGGCTACCAGCGGCGCACCGTTGCACATAGCAGTAACCCATGTAACACAGAAAGAAAATGTCAAGTAACTTTGTCTGCAATACAGATCAGCAAACGTAGATTTGAGACCTGCATTTAGAAACACATACGGTGGCACTGAACTCATCTTGGATGGCCACTGCGACCGAGTATCCCTAGTCTGTTAGATGAAGGCAATCACATCGTGGAACACCGCATGACTGTTCATAATTGGGCTCAAATGTGACACGGCATGGTTCTCCAACGATAACATTCAGAAGTCATTAAGCTAAAGGAAGAAGCGCCCAAGCGCTAACCGAAGGGAGCTGAAGAAGGCAAAGATATTCCGAAAAGTTGAAAGTGATTAGCCAAGGCAGTCACCACGAAGGAAAACAATACGAAAATGGCTACCTTGTACTGAAAGGTCGATGGTCAAGACAAAGAGCTCGCGTTCCACTCAGCTAAAGGCATCGGGCTTTTCAGGCACGAGTATTTCGATGTGTTCTCTAAACTGATAGATAGCTCAATTAGAAACAGCTCCAGAGGAAAGTGGCCTATATCATGAAAGGAAATAGTTAGAAATAAACTCCGGTCACTACAGTAGCAGGATGTAACACGGTAAGGATATGCTCCAGGGCTTCACAGCCTTCAGTTTTGATGCTCAGCTTTTTAAGTCCTCCGTTTTTGTTTTATTCTGAAACACTAGTGAGTATTACTGGAGAAGCTGAAAAGGTTTACAGAAAATTGTGCTGCCCTAACAATGTTGATAAGATTCTTTCTCTCATTAGATCGTCTTTACATCACTATTTCATTTTTACTTTCTGTTATTTGGTGTTACTTTTTCAGACCCCATCCTCAAATAACCTATATTGACTGAATCTATTTCTCATCAGCTTTCGCTGCTGACAATGTCTTTTAGGAGTGATCGTCTTATGTAGCAAAGATGGAGGTGTGACCTTTGCGGATAATGGAGGTACATTACAAGACGCAATCTGTGGTTCGCTCTCAAGCACATGAATGTCGTGGATCCTTTCTAAGAAAGCGGTCGCGTCCTACTTCTAGAGACATTCGCGACAGTGGAAACTGTGTGGGTCTTGCTAAAGCGAAGTGACCACGATGTTTTGGTAACAAGGGTCCAATCTCGATTCGCTCGGCATTTCTTGATGCTGAAGACCGACTTCCATTACCATACTCGAAAGGCTGGTAAATGATTGAGTGCTCGACTTGCCCCAATGAAGGTGCTCTTCTCACAACACCTCAGAAGAGGCCCGTTTAATGGTCCGATGTAAAGTTCAGTAGCCCTTAGGTTGTCTTCTGAACACTGGACACCACATTTGCGGCATCTTGCGCTTGGTGAGCGCTACGAGCCTACATTGCGGCAAATGCGAAGTAATTGCGCTGTCAACTGTCTTAGAGTCCTTAGAGTCGGTAAATTTTGGATGGAAGTCCTGAAGCTGTCTCTGATCCTCATCCTGTTGCACACTTTTTAATTAGCAAGTTAAATCACCTAAAGCGGGTAGATGTTACTACATCTGGAGCAAAATACCAATGGCCGTAGTGAGGTCTTGGTCATTTAATGACGTCAGTCGATGTACCGCGAAGCATACCGTATTGAACAGCTTCCTAGCGGAAAATGCTCCACTGCTCCCAAAAAGACTACTCTCAATTGGATCGGGAGGACGACATTAAAGGGAGGATCATGAGTCAGAAATAAAAAAGAACCTTCCAGGACTTGGCCATTCTGGACCTGCTCACACCAATGGTTATGCAGTCTGCATCACCTTTTCCGTAAAAATGGAGAGTCAGACGGGAGTAAAGGACAAGAAAGGAAGAATGTTATGTACTTGCTGAAAAATCGTTTCCATAAATAGGGCGAGTCCATGGAGAGCTGTGGGGAGTTAGGCCTTTCCTTATATCCTGATACTACTTATCTCACGGACCACTGCGATATGTTCGCAAACCCTCACCGAAGGTGCTGGAATAATCGAGGGTTCCCCGCAGCATGAAGTCCACGGGTCCATGGGAGGTAAGTTGTCGGCTGGGTGCGACGAAAACTATTGACGCTCATCCATGTTCGACTCTCGATAAATCTTGGCATAGTTTTGCAATATTTTTATAAGATTTTATTAAAACCTGATGCCGAGATGGTAAACATTATCGCCTTCTTCAGAGCTGGAAACCTAAAGATAATTGCTATCCATCCCTTACTCAACAATTTAGCTACAAAAACCGGTTCCCTAGACCTAATGTTTCCAAATGGGCATGATAACCCTTAAAACGTCTAACCCACCCCCAACAACAACTGCAACAATCGGTCGTATGGATGACCGCCGCTGAGGAAGAAGGCGATATAGCCGAAACGTAAGTTGATAAGAACTTGTTCACCATCTTGGCATCAGGTTTTAATAAAATCTTATAAAATTATTG